CGCTACTAGGAACAAGAAGCTACTAGGGGCTCCTGGCATCGCTACTACGAACAAGAAGCTACTATAGGGCTCCTGGCATCGCTGCTAGGAACAAGAAGCTACTAGGGGCTCCTGGCATCGCTACCAGGAACAAGAAGCTACTAGGGGCTCCTGGCATCGCTACTACGAACAAGAAGCTACTATAGGGCTCCTGGCATCGCTACTAGGAACAAGAAGCTACTGTAGGGGCTCCTGGCATCGCTACTAGGAACAAGAAGCTACTAGGGGCCCCTGGCATCGCTACTACGAACAAGAAGCTACTATAGGGCTCCTGGCATCGCTACTAGGAACAAGAAGCTACTGTAGGGGCTCCTGGCATGCTACTAGGAACAAGAAGCTACTAGGGGCTCCTGGCATCGCTACTAGGAGCATTCTTGCTATATATATATATATATTTTATTTTTTTGCTTGTTTTGTAGAACATAAGGAAGGAAGGCAAAAGGACAGGCCTAAGGGTCTAAAGAAACATATGACACATGACAGGACAACATAATATTTGCAAGTCCAAATTGTAGTGGGTAGTTGAGTTTAAGGCGCCCGATCTTGTTTTGTATGAATAGTTTTTTGTCCAAGACCCAAGACGAGCATAGGAACGGGTTGTGTTCTCTCATGCTTTTGGCAGTGGGTCCCATTCACGCCACATCTCAATGTTGATAGATGGTGGAGTTTGGTAGAACTATTGCCACCGGTTGTTCCATGAAGTTCCCCAGTCGTGCATGCCGGCATTTGGAATTCCCCAGTCGTGCATGCCGGCATTTGGAAGACAATTTTTTACACATTTTTACAATGCATTATCCAAAGATGATTTGTCCAGTACTCAAGTGCTGGTTGATTTGGCCGGCCTTGCCAACTAGGATGACATGGATATCCGCGGCCTACTCCGCAGATTCGAAGCTGGAGTTGGTCAAGAGGACTTGGAAGCCAGATGAAGCTTCCGCCTGAATCGCAGAATCGCAAGATGTCGCAAGGGCATGGGATCGGCCACCACTTGGCCGATTGTCAGCAATGCCTGGGACTCTACCACCAATATAATATACAGTATATATTATTTGTATTATATAATAGTATACAGATATATACAGATTATACACTGTACATATCCTCTCACTGTATTTTGGTCCGACTTCCGTGTCAGGAGGCTCCACAACCCGCCGAGCCACAAAGTCGACCAATCACTTCCGATGTCGTGGGCTCAGTGGTCCATTTGTGCGAAGGAGCGTTTGTGCACCTATGTATTTTCTGAGTTGGTATTCTGGACGCAGAAGTAGACATGTTTGTTTTCAATGAAAAACCAGGAACGTGCTTTAGCCAGATCTCAGGAGATATAACGCAGCTTAATGACATAGGAAAGTCCTGTTTTGTGACTCGATCTCTTGAACAGCATTATGTCCTATTCATGTTGTTGGCTCCATAATTCTGCTTGATGGGGCAGCCTACCTCGCATCCCTATATAGAATTAACATATCTTGTTTGTTTGATGAAAGTCAATAGAGAGCAGATGATAGTACAGAATCATGAACACGGAATGTTGGGACGCTAGACAACGTGCAACGAGTGTGAAGATCCCGGGGGATCCTGACTGTCTGAGATCCCAATGGGACGGGAACACCTGAAACCTCTGGGAAAGGATTTGTCCAGACAAGCCTAACTTATTGTCGCCTTCTTCAGCTAGATATATATATAGATTCTTTCGGCGGCGTACAAAGAAAGTACTGCTGCAGTCAATTGCCTGTCCACAATGCTTCTTTTCTTGAATCTGTCAAGGTGCGTATACGATGTCGTCCTCAATCTACGTTGAGTCGGGAGCCACACCAAAAATCTTCAGGTTTTGGTCTTTCTTGCAACGCCTAGGCCTAGGCATGGGCAAAAAGACTATACAGATACAGGTGTGAATGCAGGTGGCCAGGATGTTTCTGCTGCACATGGGTATTTTGGTGAGGGCAGCCATTGGCCTCAAACAGACAGGGCAACTTGTCCAACAAAGAGCGTTCTAGATTCTAGACTCTTCAATGAATTCAGATCGTCTACAGACCAAACTCACGTATCCCAAAATCAGGCCGGGCATGAACATGTCACATGTCCTTTTCACACGGCAGCTGACGCGATATAGATTGGAGTCCTTAATCAAGCTTGACCACAAAGTCCACTTCCTTCGGTTGAACAGCCCCCTCTTCTACCAAGGTCCGAAAGGTCCTACTATGCAGTTGAAAGGCCGATTCAATCTGATTCACCTGTGTGGGAGACTGACATCTGTAAGATGAATCTGAAAGGTGATTGGTCTTCTACCTTCCTACCTGGTCCAATAGCTTCCAACTGCACAGGAAGACATTCGGACGCAACTTTCATTTTGGTTGCCCCTTGTGTTCAGAATGTTAATGGCTCACACGAATCTTTACCTGATTAGCGTGATGTTTCATGGCATGTCTTTTCCCAACCGACTGCTTGCGTGGAGCAGTGTCACAAAGAATATCACAAAGAAAAGAATCGAAGAGATCCCAGCAACATGGCTTGTCATCCAAGTCTCGCAACCATTCAACCAGACTGATGGGCCAGGCCGAAGTAATTCCATGACCAGTGCTCCAACGCCAAAGCCAAAGGCCGGAGCCCGAAGAGTTCCATGTACTGTACTACCCGGCGGAACTTCAGAAGTGCTTTAAAGCATTTCAGGGGTTGGCCAAAAGCTTCAGAGACAGATGGCAGCAAGTAATAGCCCTGGATGCCAGTCAACAAGAGTTACTTCATTCAAGTGCAAACATCATTGACCCAAAGCAATTAAGTGTTGCAGCGAGACTTGCAAATTGTGCCCA